CTTTATGGATTGCACATTTATTGCGTAATTCTTACGTAAATACGTATTATTACAATCAAAGGGTGTTTTCACGATATACACGATGACGTCACTTTATCTATTTAGAGATAATAAAAATTGCCGCGAACACGGAAGGTACCCTGATACTTCGCGTTCGGCTTGATAACAAATCAACACGATAACGCATATCGGTTCAATATCGTCGATCAAATTCTCACTCGTCGCGCAAATTTTGTCGCCCGCGAGATGTCATTTCGCGACCCTTTTTTTTATTGAGGAATTTCCGCGCCACACGCCTCGTTACATCCCTTTGTCGCGCGAGGACCACGCTCATTCGTCCTCCGAAGGGGGGATAGATGGGTATACGTGATTAATCACATGCAAATGATATAATTAAAGCGGGTCTATCGGCCGACTTTTCGTGACCTAGCATTCCTGGTTCAGGTTCTCGTCCGAGGCTGGCAGGCCGTTCTTGCCGGAGTCGGTGATCGCGCCGGAGGGCACGGGGCTCTGCGGGCACAAGACACGGATCATCAGGATTAAAGCCTGCGGCATTTTTGCTAAACTGACTAAATAAATATCCCTCTTTTAATGCGCGTTAACCCCTTCACAGGCTAGTGCGACAGGCTAGCATTCCACCAATTGTTGACATCAAATATTATTCTAACAATTCGGTTAGCGTTCCAAAAAAATTTTTTTCCATCTCATTTCATGCGGCTTGTCCTAATTAATTGCGCACAGATTGTAACAGTACTGCACCTATCGATTTAAGATTGATTCTTTCGACGTCGATTAAGTTTAATCGCAGTTCATTATCTCTTTAATCTTTTTCTTTTCTTTTCTAACCAAATAAGGAAGGTGTAGAAAAAACGAAGAGACAATTGTATTACGATTAAGTTTAATCTACGGCGCAAAGATAACAATTCTTAATATGTGCAATGTAAAGATCGCAATTATGTAATTTTCGATAGGCACATTTTTGCGTAGGTAACAACCAGCAGATATAATTCCGATCGATAAAGAACGCGATATAGAAAGTAGAAGAGAAGTATAAGAGAAAGTGTCATTCATATTGTAAAACGAATTTGGACAATGCAGAAAATGCATAGGCAACGAACTATATTATTTTATTCCGTTTCTTCTTTCTGAGGAAAGAATTTCCTAATTTTGCAAATCAGAAATATTATTTAAACAAATAAATTATTTTATATTTATTTATAATTCAGCGATAAATCTTTCCAAAGATACATTTATGAGATAATTATAAATACGATATTTTAAATATTATTTTATTATATATTCATTTTTTAAATATTATTTATCTGTCAACGCGGGCCAATGTTTAAATGTGCTGCGTGTAGCATTGCGAATACGCATGCAATACGTGTTTAAGCACGTACATGCAGATCTTAGATACGAAAAATCTCGAGAAGTAATATCATTGGACTGGAACTTTTCGTCATCGCGGTGTGTTTTGTGCGAAGAAATTTGCGAAAAGAACGCGTCGCGAAAATTCTACCGCGCGAAAGATGTTTCAAAAGAAGTAGCAAAGTTCCGTGATGAGACTATTCTCAAGACTTTTTTAGACTTTGCGAAGAATCATACCTGCGACCCGCTGCCGTTCAAGCTCTCAACATTGGAACTCGTCTGCCGAAGATAGTCTCTGTCGTTGAAAATTTTTTTGTCGCCACCGCCCGGCTTGTGCTTCACGTTATCCAACGAACCGATCTTACTTTCGGCTTTGATTTCTATTTTCTGCGTCGGAATCTGAGAAAATGGATAACAAAATCGTATTATTCGTTTGTTGTCAAAATTTTATTTTGACAAGCGGCTAGAGGAAAGTTAAAATAAAGAGCTAAAACAACATTTTTTCTCTGTTTTTTTCTTTTTTTTTTTACGTAGTCGGTTAAGCGCGCGATAATATGTTTATTACAATATTCGTTCGCCAATGAAATCAGAAACGACTTAAAAGCGCGATAACAGAAGTGACGATTGACCTAGACTCTATGGTAAATTTGGAAACATGCGGAAACATGCTTAAATTTCTCATTCAACGTATCAATTTTACTTACGTCTATATCCGGCGATATAGATAGAACTTTACCGCTTTATTGTAAGGATAATAAGCATATGTTCGTAAATCGTGGAAGTAAACTGATCTATCATGCCGATTATAAATAGCGATTTCCAGTGTGAGAAATATCGATGTACGCGATACATGTGATTGTACATAGATTTATGAAGTTTGCAGCCAAATGCGAATTTTTACAAAATTAGTATTGCATTTGATTGTCCATAATTTGTCCACATTTGTTTATAAATAATCATTTTTCGTCGACTCAGCGAAAAAAATTGTAAACCGAAAAATTAGAGCAAATTTTATTTTGAGTATCCTTAAGTGTGCCTTTTTTTTAAATTATATACATTTTTTAAAATTATATTTCTTTTAAATTATATATTTTAAATTCGATTGTTTATGAATTCTCTTTCGTATGTCCAAAAATAATTATTTTTTGGTCCATTCAGCGAAAAAGTTATAATCAAATGCATATGGTAAAATTTGCTCTAATTTTTTGTTTGTTTATAATTCTTTTCCGCTGAGTGGACTAAACATTATTTATAGACAATCAAATATGATATTAATTTTGTAAAAATTTGTATTTAGGAGTGCCAACTTTATAGACCTATGTATACTTGTTTACGGGATCTAGTTTTACTCATCTTACTTTCCACGATTTGGCGAAGTACGATGAATTAATTTCAATCGTGATATCAACTGGACAATAAAGGTCGACTAAATAGATAAAGAAGCGAAAAAGATAGAAAGAAAGCGACACGTGGTATATTTAATTCACATGCTATTTCGTCAGCTGCATGATATACTCACGTCGTTCTTCGTTTCCTGCGGTGTCTTTGGCGGAGTTGCGGACTGAACATCAAGAAATAACAATGGCTTGTTAATAATGACAATAGACAATACATGCATGTACGAATTAGCTGCACAATTGGATTTTCCAATGATGTTTTTTTTCTCAATTCGGGTTTTAACGAAATTAACGAACTGCATTTGACGGAACAAACATGTATTCTGCTTCGCCAAAAATGAATAATTAAGCAAAATTAATAATTCCAAGTCGAACAATTTTATAGGTCGCAAAGGACACATATATAACTTGAAATTATTAATTGCGCCTTAAAATCGCCAAAATATAACCGTCTCCTTGCTGAATCATTAGTTTTCTAATTAAAAACTAATAACTTTGTTCGGAGTATGTATATATATATGTATATTACTGTCTATGCCAGCATTCCACATGCAATGAAATTTGATCTAGCGTATTACTGGGTAATTATCTTGGATGTTCCTATGACATAAAATGAACGAAGCGAGCATTGCGTTTGTAATGGATTTTACTCCAATTAAGCTTCCGTCACCGAATCAGCCATCTATGAAGAAATAATATGTGAAATAATATGAAGGTGAGAATTTGTATAATGATTTTCTGTAATAGTAAACATATGACTTTGTTGCTCCTTCGTTCAACTAATTATCAAACGTCAACGATAAAATACTAACAATACATATGTAAATGTAAACGCATACAATAAATGCATGCAATAAATAATTAATAATTCTTTTCGATGTTAATTGCTCGATGCAAAGAATGACATGATCGTGCTAATATTAATTAAAATATCGTTAATATTGAAAATGATGATATTTTCCGTTTGAACTAAGAATTTTGATTAGCTAAGAATCTCATTCAACTTGTTTATACAGAAATATGTCAGAAAAGTAAAAAGTTGATTAATAAACTAGAAAATTTATATAACTGGCTTATATAAAAACTGATTTTAAACTACAAATTGCAAATGTGTTATTTAGCATGTATAATAATAATAATAAATCTTACCTTGACGCTGCCACCACCAGGGACATGCTTCGCGTTTTCTTTGGATCCGACTTTTGGTTTTGCCTTGTCCTTGAAGTCGAGTTTTACTGTTTCGATCTTCTTGTCACCGCCGCCCGGTTTGTAAGTTGCGTTCTCCAAGGAGCCCACTTTGGACTTGGCATTCCACTGAAGTTTCACTTGAGCGATCTACGTTCGAAATTTGACGATTTGGTTGTAAAGCGTGTTAGTAATTCGATTTCCGCTACTATTTTCAATATTTCAAGAATATAGGAGAGAGAAATAAAGGTGTTCTCTAAGAAACACAAAAGCAATACGTTTATCGACAATAAAATGGTTAATTCAATACCAGGCTTGAAAAGGATCAACCTTTTTGTCGCCACCGCTGGGCGTATATTTCTCGTTCTTCGCGGCGATTTTCGGCTGCGCTTTACTTCCAAAGTCCAGCTTTCTGTTCTCTATCTTCACTTTACCCCCGCCTGGCTTGTAACTCGCGTTGTCTAGAGAACCGATCTTCGATCGTACAGTCTTCAGATTCGGAGAGGGCGCAGCCCCGACTTGAATTTTATTCATCGGCAGCTCTGCACGATTAAAAGAGAGAGATCGTTGGTTTGGATGTACGTCACGTCAACGTAATGTGTATTTTTTTTTTTAAACATTGTCCTTACTCTAATTTTTTCTATAGTATTCAAATTCTATAGTATTCATTCCTGTTTCTCAGCGAAAAGAGATGCAATTATATTTATATAAAATTAGGATTAACGTCGAGGATGTTAGATAATCGAATGTTTTAATATTGGCGGAATATATTAGATTTTGCCTATGCGAAGACCAATCTTTTTCTAAATTATTACGAAACCAGGAATACTTACTCTTTTTCTCTTGGGCAGTCGACGAAGGCGTATCGGGAGTTCGCGGTAATGATTTAGTAGATTTCGTAGGCGATCCAGCGTTCGATCTTTTATCAACTTCTTTAGACTTTTTAGTTGGGGATTCTCCGACTCCGTTCGTAGTCGGTGTCTATTTAGAATAATTTTAATTTTTTGGAGAAAGAAATATTTCTGATATTGTCAACAACATATAAAAAAAGAAAAAAGCACATCTATAAATCTGTAAGATATTTACCCCGCTAACTTGCGACTCGCTTGGGCTACCATTTTGAACCTCTGTGGGAAAAAAGAATATATTAATACATCGTTTAACAATCAATTAAAAATATACATACGTCAGAATCGTCTCCCACCGAAGCAAAGTCTCAAGAGTCTCAAAATAAAAATCTCAGGTTTTTATAAACAATATGTTTTAAATTTTTAATATTTTACGATAAAAACAGTTTCTTGTTCATGAAATTAGTTTTATAATTATCTTATGATATCAAGTTCTGAAAAAGAATCGAGAATCAAAAATTATTTGTTTAAAATTGGCAAAGCAAAGAAATTGGTATATTTGCGAAGGATAAACGAATTAGGATCTGCTTTATTTATTTCTGCGCGCAACCTTTTTTCTTCTCAGCTTTCTCGATGTCCAGTTTCGATGGCGTTTGCGCGCGAGGAGTTTTAGGTGTTGGAGTAGTTGGTTTCGTCATCGCCACTGCAGTCTGGTTTGCTATTTCCTCTATTTTTTCGGCTGAATCTTCAACGAAAGATGTTCTCTTCTTTCCGTCCTCTGTTTGCTTCTCGCTAATGGGCGATTTCGGAGAATTCGGCAATCGAGGGCTACCGCTGGCAGACAGGGATCTCTGTTGTCCATTGTCATAGCCCTTAACACCCTCCGGTGATCTCGGTGTTGTCGGCGATCTCGGTGACTTGCCGCCTTTCTCGCTCGTTAAACTCAACGATGACGCCGGTCTACTGGACTCTTTCACTTGGAGAGTGTCGGCGGATTTGTCGCGATGCGGATTCTCGGAGGGATTTTCCGTCCCGGCGAAGGCCCCGTCCTCGTCGTTGCTCGATTCTATTCCGGCTCGAGGTGTGCTCGAACGTGACCTGTTGGGCGTTCTCGCCGCGGTCTCCGACTCTCTCTCCGCATCCGGAGACGGCGCCAATTGCGAGGTCGGGGTACTCGCGCGTGATTTATCCGGCGTTTTCAACTCCGGCGTTCTCGATTCCTGTTCCGCGTTTCCAGATGCTTCCAGACTGGCTGGAGTATTCGAACGCGACTTATCTGGAGTCTTGACCGGAGTCTTCGATTCTTGTTCCGCGTTATCAGACGGTTCCAGTCGGGCTGGAGTGCTGGAACGCGATCTGTCCGAATTCTTGTCCTGTTCCGCGTCCAGATGAGACGGAGTGGCGGATCGCGAATGCTCTGAAGACTTCGATGGAGTTTTCAAGCTCTGTTCGGTACCTTCAAATGTATCATCATGTGGACTGCTGGGCTTTTTTATTTCTTCGGACATCGACGCGGCATTAATCTCTTTGCTCGAGGGCGGTCTGCTATCGAGTGACTCCTCCTTTTTTTCTTCCTTATCGTTATTTACCGCGGAAGATGGTCTGCTTTGAGAAATGAGCGTCGCCGTATCATCAATATTAGCAGAAATTGGTCTTGACGGTGCGTCTCGTTTGTCATCCATTTTTTCTGCTTTATCCTCAATAGTAGCCGTTCCCGGTCGACTCGCGGGTCTACTGTCGTCGACTTTCCTCGGGGTTAAGGGTGATTTAGACCCGTTCACCAATCCCTCAGGAGCATCCTCGCCATTGTGTCGCGGTGACTTCTCGTTATCCATCACGACGTCATCGTCGTCGTCGTTCTCGTCATTCTTCCTCTGCAGGTAACCCTCCGGTTTATCAAGGTTAGTCTCATTAATGTCCGCCATCTTCTCAATGACAATACGCGGTCGTGTCGGTTGCTTGATCTCCTCGTTAGATAAAAGATGCTGCCTCTGCAGACTCAGTGACGAGTCATTTCTCAATAACTGCCGCGGGAAAACGGATTCTTGGCTGGATCGCCGGGGACCGTTTTGGGGTGGCGCGATATCCGGTCTCTGAAACCGCGGGTCGTTGCCACTTCGCTGCTGTTGCTGCTGCTGCTGCTGCTGCTGCTGTGCCTGATATGCCTGTTGGTTAATAACGAAGGGTGGCCGTTGTTGACCACTCGCCCCTTGCGGCGAGGGACCTCGGATCCCCGGGGAATACGGGAAGCGTTGATTCGGGGGTAACAGCGGATTTTGCGGAGGCAGCTGGCCGGGCTGCGGTGACCTTGGGGAGAAAGAGCTCCCTGGTGGTCTCGGTGGGCCGTAAGGTCGAAGCTGCACAAATTGACCCGAGGTCGGCGGTGGACCTAGAGACGAACGACTGTCCAATCGTCGTAATGGCGGTCCCGGTCGAGGTGCGCCTACAGGACCGTTATTTATCGAATTTCTAGGAGACGGAGGTGGACCTTGCGGTCGCACCTGAAATCCTTGTGGCGGTAAAGAAGCGTTTGGCTTCACCTGCGGAGAATAGTATATATCGCGTATATTTGCATAACAGGAGAATCTGTTCGTCGATAATTCTACTATGATTTTGACAGAAAACAGATGAGCTTGGAAATAGTTTTCTGATGTATTATAATTTTTTTATTATCTGAAAAGCTAGCTACACTGTATATTTAGAATTTTAATAATACGTCGAATTGTTCGTTCTCGCCGGACGTATCATATTTTTGTAATCGTGTAATAATTTGATGGAAGATGCTATCAATTCTGGTGAAATCAATTTTTGATGCAATAAACATCAATGATCGCCCACATGCTAATAGTTTTTATTGTAAAGAAAACTACGTTCGTGCATCTCTAACATCGAAATCTAAATTCACCGCGCTGTTCCGATCTCTGTTGGAAAGTAATCAGAACTGAATATATATTCAATTTATTCAAATTTTCTTTGTTTGAACGTTGATTTTATCTTTGTTAGACGAACTTATAGGTGACTTATGATATCTCAATTTGATATGAATTAAAACGGCATGGTTTTTTGGCATCAGGAACATTCGCGAGTCCTAATCTCGAGTGATATTGGCACATGAAGAAACGAAACCGAAGGCTATTGGCGCATGAAGCAAATTGTGATCGACAGTACTAACCCTGACCTTAGCCCCATCGATCTTTTCGTTTATGTGCCGTGATTCAAATTACAAGTCTACAAACGTTAACTCAATTTTCTGCGTCATCCTAGCCGTTATCTTCCGACATGGAACTACCGTTGACTTTCTTATCGTCATTTCGAATGACGCGTCCTAGCGTTATGTGCCAGCGGCTGTTTGCTCTCATCGTAAGTATTTTCACAATTCAATTTCGTTAGTTTATAACGCGACATTTCGTGTTGCAGGCTAATGCCGCGCGACGGTAAAACGTAGAAATGTACAACGATAACAATGTTGAAAACGCGGTGGAAACTACAGTCGACTCTGACGGGAGTCCGAAATTCGTGAAATAGTGGCCCTGAGTTTATCGATCTTTTGATAATGCGGGTCGGTGACGTCTCGCCGTACCGTTTCTACCGTGCCTGCCACCGTTTTTTTACTTTCGGTTCATTATGGGATCAAGCCACGAACGACTCGAGTTCCAACGCGATTCATTCGCTTCAAGAGATACCACAAGTAATGTTACATTTGCGGATAAGATCCTCATTACTTGAAAAAAGTCGCAACGCATTTTAACCGATAACGAGGTCGAGCTCGTTTTATTACATGTGTTAGATATGTAATAAAACTAATCTCCATCATGGATTTTTTGTTAATCATTGACCGTAATTCGATCTGTCTACCTCATTTTCTATTGCTTACCATAGTTTCTCCGTGGCCCGAAGTAGGTTCGGCCACACTGTTCGCGGTTTGCTGCGAGTCCATATCGATTTCTTTTGTATACACTTATGGGGTATACCTCAACGTCGCCTTGGACAATACGGTTCCCCGTAAACCTGTTGCGTAAACATGTGACCAACGAGTTTTTGTAAAAGTTTACGAACAAGCGGTCGACATCAATGCCGCTACGTAGTGAATGAATGTCGCAGCGTGTCAGACGAGGACTACCTCATTACGTTTCTTGTACTACTGGACACTGCATACAATGTATGCGCGTGATAAAAGTGACGAAGAAGATACGCGCAGATGTGCCAGAAGAAAATACATTTTGTACCAAAAGCGAGCTAACAATAAATATTTTCAGTATTAAATTCATCAAACATGGAAAAGCCTAATAAAAAGAATTTTACGTTTATGACTACAAGAAAGAAAAAGGAAGAGAGAAAATATTTAATTTAAAAATTATAAAATTAAATTACAAATTGAGAAAGAATACATTATTTTACAATAATATTTTATTATAGAAAAATATTTGAACAATATTTTTTTTAATTTAAGATAAAAATCTTTTATTTAAACAGAAAATTCTTTTGTTAAATGTTGAATTTAATAATAACTTAATAGTTCATATCAAGATTACTGATAGAGAAGCAAATAAAGAAAAATTGTGTAACACATTCTGTTGTTATCTATCAAGATTTTATCAATTTATTATTAATTTATTATTTCATAAGAATACCTTTAACATAAAGAATTATTTATTTGCATATTAGATTACTTAGACAGCTTTAGATATTTAAACGCTATGAATAATTCACAGTCAAAATACGATACTTTCAACTGTTGTATGTACTTGTCTACTTTGATATAATTCTACAATGCGTGCAACGAGATGGTAGCCTTCAATTATAAACTATCTCCGGCAGTCTACGTGCCACAGATTATTACGTGCCAACGAGATTACAGTAATCAAATCGACATCAATTACCAATGATGTTTTACAAGTGCGAATATTCTACCAGTGAATAAATAGAGGTGTACATAATTAATCAGATCCTTCAATTTAGCAAGATGACAACGATATTACGAAATAGAAGAAAATAAAATATCAAATAACAAGAAATATATATTGGAAATATATATTGGAAATATATATTCGAGTTATAAACAAGAACAAAAAATATTTTATCTATTTCTATGAATCAAAAGACTTTAAATTAAATTTTCGTTTGTAAAATTTGTGAAATCGCATTAATTCTTTAATTCTAGAAATTTAAATATAAAATTATATATAATATATATAAAATATA